CCGCCCCGGCCTCCTCTTCCACCCCCCAGATGCTCCAGGGCTGATGGCAGACCCTGCGGAGGCAGTGGGGGCTCCCGGGGTCTGGGGGGGCTCCCGGGGTCTGGGGGGGCTCCCGGGGTCTGGGGAGGCTCCCGGGTCTGGGGAGGCTCCCGGGTCTGGGGGGCTCCCAGGGTCTGGGGAGGCTCTCTGGGTTCTGGGGAGGCTCCCTGGGTTCTGGGGGTCTCCCAGGGTCTGGGGAGGCACCCGGGGTCTGGGGAGGCACCCGGGGTCTGGGGAGGCACCCGGGGTCTGGGGGGCTCCTGGGGTCTGGGGGGCTCCCAGGGTCTGGGGGGCTCCCAAGGGTCTGGGGGGCTCCCAAGGGTCTGGGGGGCTCCCAAGGGTCTGGGGGGCTCCCTGGGGTAGGGAGACTCTCTGGGGTAGGGAGTCTCCCTGGGGTCTGGGGTGCTCCTGGGGTCCGGTGAGGCTCCCTGGGGTCTGGGGTGCTCCTGGGGTCCGGTGAGGCTCCCTGGGGTCTGGGGGGGTCTCAGGGGCTCCCAGGGTCTGGGGAGCCCCCCGGGGCCTGGAGGGCTCCCTGGGGCAGGGAGTCTCCCTGGGGTCTGGGGGGCTCCTGGGGTATGGTGGGCTCCTTGGGGTAGGGAGGCTTCCTGGAGTAGGGAGGCTCCCCGGCGTCTGGGGGGCTCCCGCGGTCTGGGAAGCTCCCGCGGTCTGAGAAGGCTCCTGGAGTCTGGGGAGGCTCCTGGGGTCTGGGGGGCTCCTGGGGTCTGGGGGGCTCCCAGAAAGGTTGGGGTGGTGAGGAGAGAGGCACCTGCAAGCAGTGCCCGAGATGGGTCTGAAGGGGCCTGAAAGGAGGGTGCACACCGAGGCGGGGACTCCTGACGGAGGCGGGAGCGGGGAGCCCGGGCTGGAGGCAGTGAGGTCCCCACGGGGGTCGGGGTGGCGCCGCCACCAGGGGGCAGCAGAGCCCCACCGCGGCTTGGCTGGGGCAGGGGCCAGGGCCTAGGGCCTGCGCGGGGCTGCGCCG